TCCTTGTTTCTTCTTGGTGCTATATTTATTCTTTTGACAGATTGAACAGGTTCTAATAAATTCTTTTGTGTCTCTGTAGATACCCGGCCAAAGAAAGGCACTAGATACCCTAGCAAGGGTAGGTTGAAGTCCAGAGTGGCCAGCGATAGGTGTGGAGTGATATTCGTTCAAGATTTTGTGTCTCAAGTTTTCAACGGAAGGTATAAAGATTTTATCTTTATAATACAATAAGTCATCCTTGAGGTAAAAGAGAACTTGATGGTCATTCTCGGCTAATAGATTCGTGACAAGTTTTTTTCCTTCAGGTTGTGTCTTGTAATATTGTCTGAGGTGGGCGATCAGTTGAAGGATAGGGGAAGAGATGGAGAAGAACATGGTTGCTTCATCGGAGTGAATGCGGCTCAAGGCATCGGCGACTTGGTTAGATTTGCCAGGTTTGTAAAAGATCTCAAAATCAAATCCTTGTAATTTCGCAGCCCACTTTTCTTGTTCAGGTGTATGAATAGTTTGAACTAACAAATTCTTCAAACTTTTTTTATCAGTGTAAATATGGAAGTGTCTTCCAATCAAGTATTGGCGCCATTTCTTTACAGCTTTCGTGATAGCATACATTTCGCGGACGTAGACGGAGGAAGCCTGAAGCCGGTTGCACATCTTCTTACTGAAAAAGGCCAAAGGGTGACCCTGCTGAGAAAGAACAGCACCAATAGCAACTGCTGAAGTATCAGTCTCCAAGATGAAGAGTTGAGAGAAATTTGGAAGACTTAGGATAGGAGTTGTAGTCAAGTGTTGTTTCAATTTTGTAAACGCGGAATCCGCGGCTGTACTCCAATGTAACTTAGTGGAACGTAACAAATCGGTGAGAGGAGCGGCGAGAGTGGCGTAATGACGAACAAATCGTCGATAAAACCCGGTGAGGCCTAAGAATCCTCTGAGAGCCGTGAGTGATCGTGGCGTTGGCCAATCAAGAATAGCTTGGATTTTAGCTGGATCAGGGGTGACACCATCCCGTGAAATAATATGACCTAAATAATCAACACTAGAAACAGAAAAAATACACTTGGAGAACTTCACATAAAATTGGTTAGACAACAATAATTCTAAGATGAGTTTTAAATGAATAGCATGATCAGCAACGCTGGAACTATAAATTAAAATATCATCAAAGAACACTAAAACAAACCGGCGTAAATATGGGTGAAGCAAATCATTCATAGCCGACTGGAATGAACTTGGAGCGTTTGTCAAGCCAAAAGGCATGACTAAAAACTCATAGTGGCCATCAAACGTTCTGAAAGCAGTTTTGTGAGTGTCATTTGGGTTAACCCGTATGTGATGGTAACCCGAGCGTAAATCGATCTTAGAAAATATAGTGGCAGAACCCAACTCATCAAAGAGTTCATCAATTGTGGGTATTGGAAACCGGTCTTTAATAGTTACCGCATTCAAAGCACGATAGTCGACGCAGAAACGCCATGACCCGTCTTTCTTGCGAACTAGGAGAACAAGTGAGGAGTAAGGGTTGTTGCTAGGTTTAATAACCCCTTCGTGTAGCATGTCTTGAATGATTGTAGTCATGATATCCTTTTGAGAATGAGGGTATCAATACGGTTTCACGTTGACAGGTGGGTTGTTGGGAAGAATAGGTATGTGGTGGTCATGAGGCCTTGGGGGAGGTAGGTCGTGCGGCTGGTTGAAAATTGCTGCAAATGAGTGAAGTATAGTGGTGATTTGTTGCGGAAGTGATGTAGGTAATGAATTAAGGGGATTGGCAGGTTTGAGGGAATTGGGCTCAGGTGGTGGTTGATATAGAAGTAGGTGGATAGAAGCAACGAAGTCTGTTTGGAGAAGATGGCATATATGGTTGTAAGAAGAGTGTAAGGGAGGGGATTTAGGGTCCCCTGTGATGGTGATTTCCGTGGTCTGGTATGTAAAAGAGATTTTTGGGATAGAAAAATCTGCTAGGAGTGGCCCAAGGGTGCGCAACCATTCCATGCCCAAAACGACGTCTGCGCCTTCAATGGGTATTAAGTGGAAGGGAATAGTGAAAAGGTGGTTTTATAGGGTGATAGGCACGTGTGGGAATAGTCCTGAGCAGGATAGTTTGGAGCCATTTCCAACCATGACAGAGAAGTTGGGGATGGGGTTGATGGTTAAGCGTAGATGGTGGGCAATACGCGGCTGGAGAATGTTGTGGGTGCTGCCAGTGTCAATTAAAACTGACACCGGAAGGCCATGAATTTGTCCTTTAAATTTCAGAGTCTTTGGTGAAAACTGGTCATTTGCTGCTTGTGGGGATAGTTGAAAATATGTGTCGTCGATGTCTGGGGTTGGTGAAATGGGGTCAGGAATTGTGTTGGATTCCTCTTCAGAGACAACATCGTCGTCCACCATTAGCAGCAAAAATTTTCCAGTTGAACATTTATGGCCTAGAATGAACTTTTCATCACAATTAAAACACAAGCCTTGTGCCCGACGCTCTTGAAGTTGAGCGTTGGACAAACGTCTAATAGGTAGTTTGGTTGGGTGGGGTATTGTTGGGGATTTAGGAGCAGGTGTATTGTAGTTCTGAGTTGGTGAGGCAGGAGTAGGTTTTGGTAATGGAAGTGGAAAGGGTCTGTGGTATTTAGGTTTGGAATCTTTAAATTTGGATTCAATTAACTTCGCAAGGCCAATCGCCTGGGAAATAGAAACCGGTTTGAGGATAGCAATCTCATTCTGAATCTCAGACGTTAAACCTGAAATGAAACAGTTCAGGATAGCATCCTGAGGTAAACCAATCACCTGCGTACCCAATTTTTCAAACGCAGCTTGATATTCCACAACTGACCCAGTCTGTTTTAACTTAAAAAGTTCCGCTTGATGATTAATATATGTGGATGGCCCAAAACGCAATTCCAAGGCTCTGGTAAAAGCAGTCCAATCAGTTAAAAGATGACTTTGGTACATCCATTTGAACCAACATAATGCTTCACCTTTCATATAGAAAGACATCATAGCAAGTCTATGTTCAGGTGGAAGTTGATAAAAATCAAAAAATTGGTCGGCTTGGAATAACCATTCCAAAGGGTTAGAGCCGTCAAACATGGATAATTCTAGTTTTGGGGTTCGGAACGGGGGTAGTGGAGTGGTTGAGTGGAGCGGAGAATAATTAAGGTTGTGAAATACAGGAGCTGTATAGGTCGGTTGGAAAGGTAATGTAGTAGGGGAATTGTGGATGGGTGGGGGAGAGGCAAAAAATCTGGGTGGGGGTAGTGGTGTGGGGTGGAAAATGCTGCTGGACAGAGAGGGTTGTTGGATGGAGACTGAGTGTAATAGGGGTGATAGGGTTGGTAGTACGTGAGGGGAAGAGAGAGGCGTGGTAGTTTGTGAAAAATTAGGGGGAATGTGTGTGATACCTGAAGAAGAAGGCGTTGATATAGGAGGGTTTCGTTGCTGTTGCTCTTTTTGAGTGGTCAATTTTTGCAGCAGAGCCATCATGTTTTCGTAACGGGAATCAGAGATTTGCTTTTCATTGTCCATTCGCGTGTGAAGCAGCTTCAGATCTGCAGAACTTTTATCGAACCTTTCGTCGATTTGCTGCTGGGTTCGATTTAACGCCATATCAAGGTGAGTATGAGCTGTTTGGACAACTTCATCGATAATGTCTTTAGGGTTGGGTGGTTTGGGTTGGGGGGCCATGAATCCAAGGGATGAAAGCACCAATTTGATAAGAAGAGTTCCAACAATATATATTTCTAAGATCTAGGGTTACTAATTTGAGAGTAATTGAAGAAGATAAAAGTTAAATGACAACTTTCTCATTTCATATCCTTTGTTGTAGCCAAAGTGGTCTTTTAAATACAAAATAGAAGACTGGATGTTCTAGTGAATCTAATGTGCCTAGCCCATGAATAGAAACAACATTAAAATAAATATATAACTAACATAATTAATTATAAAAATCTTTTATCCACTTGGGCTGGTTCCTCTTTCTAATGGGACTGCTATCAGGATCAATCGTCTTATTTATATTAGGAGATAGAACATGAATTTGTATAATAGTCATTAAAAATATTTAAATTTAATGATATTTTTGTACTATTACCAATTATGAAATCTACCTTATGATTGACCAAGTAAAAAAGTAGTAAGTTTTACAAACTATAAAAATAATAGAATATAGTGAGAATGAACCCACATTGAGTCCTACCCTAACAACTTTACCCAACCTCCCTGCCCCTTCTTTATTACAAAAATTATTTCTTTGACCACTCAACAAGGCTCAAAGTAGCAGCCACATAATTCCAATATAGAAAGAGAAAAAAAAAGTCTTACAGATTTTTACATGGAAAATGCTAAATTAAATTTTAAGTCAATTTTTTTTATCAAGACATTACATGCACATTGTAAAAATTAAGCATAGGAGACAACATTTCAGACACTCTGTCAGAATGACTCAATTATTGGTCCTAATTTCAAGCATATTAACCATTTCTCTCCAACCCATATGGTTAAATGTTTTGAATAGTGTGACAGAAAAAACAGTAATTTTGGCAAATTCACTATACCTTGAAAATAGTTTAGTATCTTAATTCTGACAATCTTAAACGGTTAACATGTTTCTTAATTTTCCTCTTTTTTGTTACTGAATCTCTCTTTTTTCATACAATTTTAGCCATTGCACAAACAAAGAATAGCTACAAAAAGATGTTTATGAGAAACAAATATGACAAATACTATAACACAGATGTTACACATGTCAGAATCCAAATCTTGAACAGAAAATAAAAAATTTAAACATAAGCACTCATCAACAACATAAACCTAACTAAAATCAATCATACAAAATAAATAAACCCCCCATTTTTTGTTACTTGTTGCATGCATTAACATCACATTTGCAAAGAATCATATCATGCATAGACAATATACCATGCACCACCATTCATCACTCATTGATTCATCCTTCCAATCCATTCTTTGATTCATTAGTTTTTTTTTATTAATTCAGTTATTATTCAAACTCGAACCGCTTCTTTCGAATCTAAACCAGAAACCACGGTGGAACTTCTTTCGTTATCGTCGTTTACGTTCCCTGCAGCAACAGCACCACCTGCATCACTGATATTTCCGAAGAGTAACACGATAATTCCAGCTATAGCAGTGCAAAACGCGACTCCGAATGAAGTTCTAATCCGTCCGGGCCCGACTGAACCGACTGTGAACCCGACACACAACCCTGCAGCTCTCATCCATGCATACCATATCGAGAAAGCACCTTCTTTACCTGATGGAGCACAGTCCAACACTAGAACGCGACCGAAAGCATGGAGAATGCCTGTTGCCGTGCTCTGAATGGCGCCGAAAAGAACCAAGTGTCCCCATTTCCAGTGACTGTGTCCATAGTAGAATCCAAACCCGGATGACAGAAGCGAGAAAAAGAACCCGACGATCTGCATTTTAACCGAGCTTGTCTTAATCAAGTGAAGCAAAGGTTGAAGCAGCGACAGCGAAACGAGTGGGAAGAGGAAATAGGTTAACCAGAACAAAAGCAAATGTAGCGGCCTAATGCAAAGCTGTCCAACAATGAAAATCACACCTCCCATGAAAATCGTCATGGTTGTAAAAGACGCGAGGAAAACACTAGCAAGACCACCAATAGCATGAGGATATTTGAAGATGGAAAAAGGGTGAAGCCTCGACGAAAATGAGATTGAATCAGTGGTTCTACTTGTAGCTGTAGCTAAATGTAAAATCCCAACGAGCCAAATTAGTCCACTAAAAATCGAAACAACCCAAAGACTCATAACATCACGCTCGTTGTCATTGAGTTCATGTATCATATGGTAAGTAAAAGCAGCAATCAAAGCCCCGCCAAAACATCCAGCAGAAGTAGCGTGAAGCGAGAGACGCGTAGAAACACCCTGTCTAATGAAAAACTGTGTCTTCTTCAAAGATGTTCCGGTGAAAGCGCGAATCATGAGGCCAAAATGTTGTGTGTGAGCAGCATTCGCGACCGTGCTGGCTGCTATGATACCAGCAATGTATGGAATGAAAATGGCTGTAACTTTGAAGAATCCGGCCGGGAGACAGAAGAAAACTCCAACACCTGTTGCTGCTACCGTGATGAGTTTTGGGAAATTTCCGTCGAGGTGGAAGGAAAGGAAGCCAAGAATTGGTGCCGCTATGGCTAGACCTATAGCCCAAGCAATTGATGTCCATTCCAATGGTGAAAACTTTGAACTTATAGTGTGTCCAGTGAGTTTGCTATACCTGCATAATTCACACCACATTAGCGCATATCATAGATTCAAACTCGTATCCATACAATCAGGCGTCTCAATGTCTCTGAACAACTACCAACTGAACTGACTTAACAAATATTTGCACGAAATATCTTGCATATTAACTGCCATGCAAGTATTGCACATGGAAAGTACCATTATCACTTTAGTTCCTGTTGTTTTTACAAACATTGAACTGTATAATAGCCAAAAAAAAACATTGATTGATGTATCAAATAATAATAAAAATTCTAAAGGTTTTTTTTGGAAGATTTGTTTTGTACTTGATAAAAAAAGTACTCAATAGATAAAATATGAAGAGAAAAACAGCTTCAATATTGTCGGCACTATAAATTGTCTTTAAGCCCAATTTTGAGCTAACTACCGACAAAAGAAATTCAAATTTTCACTTTATTAAAAAGTAATATATCATTTAGTTTATTTATTATCATGCTTTTAACTTTTTTTACAAAATTATTACAAGTGTGCATAAAAATAATAATGTAAAATCTTAAAAAAGAGCATGTAGTGTAAAATATTCAAATATAAATTTTGAAAGTATAATAGAAAATTAAAAACTTAACCGTCGTGGATATTATTAACACACTAGTATCTTTAAATGTTGAAAAGATGACAGAGGTCTTTCAGGAGAGTCCGACAAACATTTTTATACTCCCTAGGAATAGAGCATTATACATATAAATAAATCTCTCTTCTCTCTCATGGTTTATTTTTTTGGCCAATAGTTGAAGAAAAACATTTATTAATTTTTCTTGTATATATCAAAGGTCGAAATGGTTAATAAATAGGGTTTATGTCCTGTGGGTAATGAAAGTGGTTTTTGAAAAAAGGAATCTTAAGTTAACCCTTGAGTAAGAGTAAAGTAGGTTTGTATAACAAAGACACCAAGGACACACCTTTTCATGATTGCAAACTATATAGTGGAACAAACGGCTCATTTTATTTAATTATATATAAAAAAAAATACCTTATATTATGGAACCCTATGTTGTTGTTGTGTTTCTCACACAACACCCTAGTACTTTTTTTCTTACTCTAAATTTTCTTTTTAAAAGTAAAAAATAAATAAAATTTCTATTTTCTACCAAACCCTTCTTCACATCACATATTCATGACTACCAACTACAATTTTTTTTTTCAAATTTTAAAAAAAATTTAAAAACCCAAATCATATAAATTAGTGTAGATCAATACTCCATAAGAAAATTACATAAAGTAAGGATTTTTATTTTTCATAAAATATAACTTGGTTACTTACTACTATTCTAAGTGTGTTTTTTTTTATGCAAGTGAAGTTGGTCAAGCAAAAAGACAATAATTTTCAAAATGATTATAAAAAAAATATAAACTTACAAATAGTGTTATATTATGGCTATGAGAAAAAAAGTGGACTTACAAATGAAATTCCTTTTGTGAGCAGTGAGTACCAGGATGAAGCTTGTTCCATTCTTGAAGTGAAACAGTAGGCTGTTTCTGTAGCTGACTGATAATGAGAGGGAAAACAACAGGGACAAGAACAGTTTGAACAAAGTAGAAGCAAAACTCATAAAGGTACCAACCAAAGACTTCAAATCTAGAAGGCTTTTCACCAACTTCATCATTGTAGCCACCATTATAAGCTTCTCTGGCTCTTAAGATTTTGACAGCCCTGTTGTGTAAGTCAGGTCTGGTAGTGGAGTTACCTTTACCAATCTCTGATGGTGCAACACCTTGAGCATGGCCATGGATGGGTTCAGGTTCAACGGTTAGCTCTTTCATTGGGATGGAGAAAGAGAAAATGAGAAAAGAAAAGGGGTGTCAGACTGAGGAGTAATGGTGAGTGAAGAGAGAGGACAGGGTGTGGTTTTGGTAAGGGAAATAAAAAGGGAAGGTTTTGGGATTTTGTTTTTAAGTTTTAAGAAAGAAAAGGTGCATATGGTATGATGATAGTAAGGGAGTGAGTGAGGGAATAGGGTGGGGTGACTTTTATGTGTAAACTGTACACTGCTGGGTAAATGGGCTTTCTTATAAGGGGTGTAGTACTACTCTTATCAAAATAAATTATTTATTTTGTATTTAATTATGGTTTATAAACTACAATTCATACTGATTTATAGTGGTAAATAATTAAGTAATTGAATTTGTAATGTTTAGTTTTTTTATCTATTTGTTTAATGATAAATTTTTCACATATTATATTATGTGTTTGAACTCGCACTCCTTACCAACAAATGTTTAATAAAATAATATAATAAAAATTATTTGATATTTTATTTTTAAAATAATTTAGAAAAATAAACTATCTAAGATATTATAACTTTGTAATAAAAATAATAGTTAACTTTTTTTTAATTTTTTAATATGATTACAAAATTATGGAATTAAAAAAAAACTTAAATAATTATTTGGTCCGTGTAAGTTAGGAGATTTTGAATTTAATTTCTATATTTTCTTTGTGTCTGAGTCCTTATAACTAAATTTTATGTTACATTTAGTCTCTGGCGTTAGTCTTCTGTTAAAAAAACATTAACTGTGTAAATGGTGCATACGTGGAATTTACTGTGTGTTTTTCATTTATGAACATACCTACGTGGAAAATTATAAATTTCCTACCAAAAATATAATAGTGTGCATAAATTATGCTTTGTGTTTAGTCCCGTAAATTAGGATTTTTGAGCAAAAAATAGAAACATTCCATTGAAGTTGTTGTGTGAGGGAGGAACACGAGCATGCAGTAGAAATAGATCTTGATAGGTGGAGCTTATTTGAAGCAATAGGTATTGTGAAATACTTAACTGAGCTTGAACATATTGAGTATTTGTTATAGTGGTATAATAGTAATGCTGATAGGTATAGTAGAATGGTTAGTGACACAAATACTTCTAATGTATATCAATATGTCATGGAAATGAAATGCGCAATGCATATATATGTAGAGCATAAAGGTGAACATAATGCAGTAGTAGTTGAACTAGGCAATGATGTTGGTGGTGTTGAGAATGTGGAAGTACATAGTGTTGGTCGTTTAGAACAAGTTGAAGTAGGTAATGAAATAGACAATGTTGGTTGTATGGAGCAAGATGAAGTAGGTAATGATGTTGGTGTTGAGGAGAATGTTGAAGTAGATAATGTTGGTGTAGAGCAAGATGAAGTAGATAATGTTGGTGGTGTGGAGCAAGATGAAGTAGGTAATGGTGTTTGTGGTGTTAAACATGTTGAAGTAGATAATGTTGGTGGTGTGGAGAAAGTTGATCAAGATGCATAACCTAGTGTAGCTGGAGTTCAACAAGTTGAAGTAAATGATGGTAGTGAGGGCGGTGAGGATAATGACTTTGTAGCTGATGGTTTATCATTTTATAATAGTAAGGATGAGAGGGCTCTTGGGATGGATGATTGTTTTGATGCTGTTGAAAATTAACATGAAGATAATGGTAAAAGTTGCAGCAAGGAAGCACAAGAACACACCAAAGAAAGTATTAATTGGTGTTGATAATGCAAGGTCAAATAGTGATATGGTTAACGAGATGGACATCAACTAGCTAGTAATGAACTTGGTAGTAGTGTGACCCTGATGCTTCTGATGGAGAAAAGGAACCAAAATATCCAAGGTTTAAGATGCATGAGTTGGACAAGAATTACAAGTTCAAAATGGGATTAGAGTTTGTATCATTTGAAGAATTTAAGGAGGCAATAAATAAATGGTTAGTATGGAATGGTAGACAACTAAAGTTTGTGAAAAATGACAAAGTTATAGTAAGGGTAATTTTCAAGGGGAAATGTGATTTTTTAGCACTTGTAAGTAAAGTTGGGAATAAGCACACATATAGAATGCATAAATAGATTGGAACACACATGTGTGGTAAGATGCTAAATAATAGCTTTGCCACTTCCAAGTGGATTGCTAAGGGGAGTCAATGTTGGGAACACTTGCAAAATTATTATGACAAGGGTTGGGTCATCAATACAACCAAGGTTTAACAACTTTTATTTTTGCTTAGATGAGCTTAAAAATGGATTCACAACCTCTTGTAGGTCATTCATTGGTGTTGATGGATGTCATCTCAAGACAAAGTATGGAGGAACTTTCCTCATTGCAGTTGGTAGAGATCCAAATGACCAATATTTTTCCATTGCCTTTGGTGTATGTGAAACTGAAACAAAAGAGTCATGAAGGTGGTTCCTAACATTGCTTCTGGAAGACATTGGTCAAGATAAGATATGAGTTTTCATCTATGAACAAAAAAAGGTAATTGTTGTGTTTTTTTGGATATAATCCCTGATTATATCTTCTTTTTTTGGATTTCATCCCTGATTATGTTCATCTTTTTGGAGTTTTTTCTCCATCCGTCTTTGTTGCAGTCGTCCTTCTTCGTCGGCATTTTCGCCATTCTGTTTTTGGTGGCACGCGTCGATTGTTTTTCTTATCTTTCATCAGATTCTTTTCGAGATATTATGCAATAGTCTATGTTCAATGTTTTCCAACAACATTTGTTGATATTTAGTTTTGATTCGCTTAGTGGCTTATGTTTGTTTTTGAGTAGTTGTCGTTTCTAGTTCACTGGTGTTTTGTGTGCTGGTCATTTTTTGTTGTTTCGACGTTTTTGCTGGTTTGTTACGGTGGTAGATATTGCTTTTGTCTTCAGCGATTTTGTTTTTAACCTGAAAGTTGTTGTTCTAAAGCTACCATTCACTAGTGTTGGTGGTGGATTCTTGACTTTTATCTCTGCTTGTTTTTCATATTTGATGAGATCTACAATTTTCAAGGTGTTTGGGTTTAGACACCGCACTGGTGTTTCTTTGGTGGTTAAAGTCTCATTGCGGTTGTGATGTTCTTTCGGTGTCTGTTAGGATGTCTTTGAACGTGCTTGACGTGGTCTAGTTTGACTAAGCTTGAAAGAGTTGTCAAGCTGTTGTGGTTTATTTCACGAAGGTTGTTGGTTCGTGATTTTGTTCGTGTTAGCATTCGGAACATTCACCATTCTTCATAACATGGATTTGATCAGTCAAAATCGTCCTGGTTTGTTTAAAATGCTTGCAACTTCTTATACACTTTTCTTTTACAATTTAATTTCGAGTCCCGCATTGAGTCCACTAAATTATGCTTTTATGTGTATTTATTTACGTTGCATTAGACTATTTACTGGGTCAGATTTATGTTACCAAATTATACTTTTATTTATTTGTTATATTTTGTTGATTTAAAAAAAAGAATATTTTAAGTGAAAGTAGTTAGCTTTAATTTATATTTAACAATTTTTAAAAAATAAAATATATTTTAAATCAATATCAAATATAGTTTTAGTTTTTGTTTATATTTAAGAACAGAATAATATATTTTTTTGATATTTTTTTTTAAGGTAAGATAGAAAGATAAACATGTATACGATGTATAGTTTTTATTTTGATCTTTGAATAAAATAGTTAATCATTTTTCATATATTTTCTTAAATATATGCAATCTTATTTAAAATTCTGAAAATAAATATGGTTACATCAAGTTATGAGAGCATTAATTATTCTCTTATATCTAATTCCCACTGATAAATAACATAATTTAGTTGTGGAAGTTTTACCTCATACCCCTACACTTGTACCTATACCCCTACATTAAAAAATTTTAGACCAAAATATCCTCGTATAAAAATTTATTATTTTTTAATTTTTTTATATTTTTTTATTTGTTTACTGGAAGACTTTTTGGAAGTCTTACGGTTCACATTTTTTTTCGTAGGTTTACCGAAAGACTTTTTGGAAGTCTTCCGGTTCATATTTTTTCGTTTGTTTACCGGAAGTCTTCCGGTTCATATTTTTTTTAATTTGTAATTAATATTTAAGATTTATTAACTTTATATAAAGACCAATTTAGTGAATTTTTGAATATTAGACTTAAAATATAAAAATTCTATAAATAGAGAATTATTTTCAAAATATTTTCTATTTGCTATAATTATTAGAATACAATGAGATTAAAATCATTTATTTTAAATGATCATAATAGTAAAGTTTTCTCAAATATCTTATTAATCTTAAACATTAATAAATAAAATAAATTTAAATATAGGATATAAGTTTACATTATTCAATATATTTAATCAAATGAAAACATATGTGATAAATAAATAATGTATTTTAACTTAAAATGATCACAATAAGTTAACTTGCAAAATAATATAAGTAATAAATTAATAATGTATTTTATTTAAAATAATCACAATAATAGAATACGCAAATAATGTGTTTTATTTATAGGACTGATATAGTTTTATTGATTATTTAATTTTAAATACTACTATGAATATAGTATTTAATCTATACTTTAGAACTCACATAATTATAAATATAAAAAATATTGTTTTATTACCCATATTTTTATTTAATTAAAAAAAATAAGAATATAAATTTATTATTTGTTTTTCATTTTCGTTTGATCTTTTTTTTATTTATAAATTTTTTGCATATTCTATACCGTGCTTACTTTAAATAAAATATATTATTTATTTTATTAAAAATATTAAATAAAGTGAAATAATTAAAAAGATCAAACAAAAATGAAAAACAAATAATAAATTTATATTCTTATTTTTTTTAATTAAATAAAAATATGGGTAATAAAACAATATTTTTTATATTTATAATTATGTGAGTTCTAAAGTATAGATTAAATACTATATTCATAGTAGTATTCAAAATTAAATAATCAATAAAATTATATCAGTCCTATAAATAAAACACATTATTTGCGTATTTTATTATTGTGATTATTTTAAATAAAATATATT